TTGGAGCAAACTTCAGACTCCTAAGGAGCAGCACAAGGCACGGCGTGGGCCGCCTCCTACCCCTCTCTCCAGCCTGGCTCGCGCCCCAGCCCCTCACCCTGCGTCTGTTTGGGGACTTCCGAGCCCCACGCTGCTCCTGTCTGTCGGCCCACACTGGCCCCCCTTCCTCTCTGGCTTGTGGGGTTCATCCCCACGGAGACGTCAGCTTCAAGAAGAGCATTGGTTCCTCGGCCCGGGCTCCTTCCTGCCCAGCTGAGGCGAGCCCGGCTCTGCGCTCCCTGACCTCAGGGCGCTGACCTACGGCTCAGTCCTTAATCCTGTCTTCTCAAGGTCACGAGCTCCATGAAGCGAAGGACCAATCACATTTTGTTCACGGTGGTATTCCGGGAAAATCACCTGTTTTGGCACAAAACAGATGTTAACCTGCACATTGTATGAGAATAAAACCAACTCTAGAGATGTGTGTGGGTGGTACCGGGGTCCTCGCAAGCCTCTCCCCTGCTTCCTCAGGACAGTGGACACTTCCTACACTTCCTGTACTTCTTGCCAGGCCCAGCGTCACCTCCCCCATGATGCCCCTCCTGACTGCCCCAGGCAGAGGAAGACCTTCCCTTTGCCTTCTTACTTAGTGTTTGTTGAAGGGACAGATTTTACTGACTTTGGCTCTTCCTAGTTCTTCGAGGTCCCTGTGCTGGGGTTATCATGGCGGCCAGAGTCAAGAAATAGCTTTGGGTTTTCTCATCAAAGACCAGAAGGGTGGCCCCAGAGAGGACTTTAGCCTGACCTGAAGCCCCAGGCAGGGACAGGAGAGGTTTTAAGTATGGTTACACTCTGCAGAGGTGAGAAGCAAACCCAGTCATCCTTCAGATCCAAAGCCCAACCTAAGGACCTTTGTGTACTCTGTGCATGTGTGTGTGTTTAAAACAACTTTATTGAAAAAAGTTCACCTGTTCAAAGTATAACATTCAATGTTTTTAAATTTATTTATGGTTGCGAAATCCCCACCACCGTCTAATTTTAGAACACTTGGAACATTTCTGTCACCCCAAAGGAAGCCCCGAACTCATTAGCACGGCTTGTACATTCCCCCAGATTCTGGCCCGAGGCACACACTCGTCGGCTCTCTCTGGAGGCGAGTCACGTAGAGGAAATCATGCAACTCGTACTCCTTTGTGCCTGGCTTCTACCACTTGGAATAACGTTTCAGGGTCCATTCATACTAGAGCCGGTGTCCGTGTTCTCGTCCTTTTTGTGGCTGAATCATGTTCCGGAGCTGGACAAGTCACGTGGTGTTTATTCACGTATCAGAGGACCGGCATTGGGCTTGTTGATGTGCTCTATGGTCTAGCTGGCTCCTGGAGGGTTTCTAGCCGGGTGCTTACAGGGGTGCGGTTGAGGAGGGACTGTTGGTAACGTTCACTGAGACCCCTTGAGGGTCCTCGAGGCTGGGACATCTCCTGTGGACAGCTGCCTTCTGCCACCCAGGGACCAGGTCCTCCCAGGCTTCTGGCCACTCCTGCTCTGGGGCGGAATGACTTGGAAGGTCAAGTCTCTCCTGAAGGCACCTACGCCGCAGACTAGTTGCTGCTGACCGGTAGCAGTGGTCACCTTTTTTTTTTTTTTTTAAATTTAAAGCTATTTTTATCATGGAACATTTCAAAGCCAGAGAAAACCACAACGACAAGCTGTATGTCTACTCAGCTCTGACAAATCACAATATTTTGCTAAAGCATATTTTTTAAGAAACTAAATCTTGGTTGTCACTCTTGTCTTATGTCTCTCCATCCTGGAGCAAATGCCAAGTCTTCTTTCATGTGCTTTTATTTTTTTTAATTATTTTTTTTATTTTTAAAGATTTTATTTATTTATTAGAGAGTGAGCACAAGCAGGGGAAAAGGCAGAGGGAGAGGGAGAAGCAGGCGCTCTGCTGAGCAGGGAGCCTGATGTGGGACTTGAACCCAGGACCCTGGGATCGTGACCTGAGCTGAAGGCAGACACTTAACCGACTGAGCCTCCCAGGTGTCCCATCATGTGCTTTTGAGTCCTGCCCCTACGGTTTGGGGGTGGTGGTGAATGGCACTGCAGCGAGACCAACTGAAGAGACTAGACATTATTTTAGCTGGTGCCCAGACAGGCATTTAGGAACGTTGGCTCTCATAAAAAAATTCTTTCTGTGCTTTGTCCTTCTGGCCACATTGAGAACATGTCTGTTCGGGGCCCGAGTGTCTGAACGCCTCTCCCACCCTTGCTCGTCTTCCTTTCCAGCGAAGCTGGAGCCCACAGGGGATCTGGCTGGCAGGACCCAGTCAGCACCGTAGTCCTTCCCGTAGGTGACAGGAAGGCCCCCTCTCTGTTGCTGGGGCAATGGTTTCCTTTAAAGTGAATGTAAGTGCCAAGAATTGATTTAAAGAAAGATCTTTTTTTTTTTTGGAAGATTTTATTTATTTGTTTATTTGAGAGAGAGATAGAGAGAACACAAGCATGTGAAGGGGGAGAAGCAGATTCCCCACTGAGCAGGGGGCCTGATGCAGGGCTTGATCCCAGGACCTGGAGATCATGACCTGAGCCAAAGGCAGAGACTCAACCATTTGAGCCACCCAGGCGCCCCTGATTTAAAGGAAAATCTTAAGCAGCGTGGGTTCCGAGTAGGGAAGTCGGAACAGTGGGAGGTGGTGGGCGTTCGGCGGACAGCTGAAGGCCCCTGGTGCCTTTCTTCTCTGGGACGCGCCCCTGGGCTTCCATCCCCACCCCCACCTGCCGGTCCACCTGCTGCTGGCTTTCTCAGCTCCGTGGGGGAGGTGTTGATGATGGGCTGGGTAGGGGGCTCGAAAGCCCGCCCGTGGGGCCAAGACTCAGCTTGGCTCTCGGGGGGCTGCCTGAAGAGCTCCCAGGCTGGGGGCTGGAGAGACCCCTGGCCGGAGGCCCGGACAGGCCACTCACGGCTCTGATGTGGCCTCACATCTGAGGTGGGGGCTCTGGCTGCCCTCACTTCCTCAGGCACCAGGAGGAAGAAACGACGTCCCAAGTAAAGTGCTCAGCCCGGAGCTGGACTCGTCACCATCGGGCATATCTCTATGTGCATAAAAAGAATCCAGGAAAGTGTCCTCCCGGTTTCCTCTTTTTCATGGTGTTGTCAACTGTAACTGTTTTGGGGGACACCCCGTGGTTTTTTGGTGACCATTCTGAGCTCTGCCCTCCCCTCTCATCCTGGAAGACCCATTGCGGGGGCTGTTTCTGTTTGTTCACCGTTGGATCCGTGGTGCCTGATGGGGCACCCAGCGCGCTGGACTCCCGTGGGTATTGGAATGAGTGAATGAATGAATGAATGAATGGGAGGTGACTGGAGGTGACTGTGGCTGACAGCCCAACGCTGTGTGTGGGCGGGCACCCATATCACTTCCCCACCTCTTGGTTCTGTCTTAGGCCCTTCATTGGGGGTCATCCAACAGGGCCAGGTGCTCTCCCTACACCCCCCTACACCCAGCTTTAGGGGCTGCCCACGTCTGGAAGAACAGCCCCCAGAAGGTCCCAGTCCCTGCGCTGCTCTCGCCAGCTGTGGGACCCCCGGCCAGCTCCTCCTCTGATCTCAGTTTCCCCCTCTGAGCGGGCCTTCCCTCTGCAGTTGTGTGAGGGGCTGAGACGGGATCAGCGCGTGGGAGCGTCTGTGCTCCGTCCCTGCACACGGCAAGTCTTAGGTGGGAGCAGCCTCCCACCTAGGTGGGCCCAGCCATCTGGGCATCTGGTGAAATGCTCCCTCCTCTGGGCACCTTCCGAGGCCTGGCTCTGTGCCACGCTCCAACCTTCCCTGCGCCTTTACTGGGATTTTCTCTTTTCATTACCCTTCCCGTCCCCCAGGGCTTAGCTGGAGACGCTGGAGCTCCGTGTGCTCCCCCCATGCCACTATCTGGAATGGTGAGAATTGCTCATTAGCACTTTGGAGGGCACCTCTGTAAGTGGCAGCCCTGGGGGGTGTCACCTTCACTGCCTGGCCCACCAGCTCCATCTAGGCGTCTGGGGGAACCCTCCCTGGAAGGCACAAGGGGCCCATCCTGCCCGTCTCCCCCCAGGCAGGGTGCTGAGGGCCTGGAGGAAGCGGAGGTGGGCAGTGGAGAAGGGATTAAGGGTGCAGGGATAAAGCTCTGGAGGGCACCCCCCCGCCCAGGGTGGAGTCTGGGCAGCAGGACCTACTCGCCTCCATATCCCCAAGAGAGGGAGGGCGGGGAGACCAGCTAGCTGCCTGAAGCCGCTGGGGAGATTAGGCCCTGCCTCCAAGGGAGGCACCCTCAGGGTCTCCTCCCCTCCCCCTGGGGAGGGGAGAAAGTGGGACTGGGAGCATTCTTGTTTCTAGAGCTCTGCTGGGTGGGGGGTAGGCAGTTCATAACTCAGGATGGGCCCCCCACTTCCCTTGGGCAGGCGGCAGGCAGCCCAGGTATTGGAGACCCCTCCCCATCACCACGCTGGCTCTCACTCCCTCTCTCGTGACGTCATGCTCCTCTCGCGCGGCATGATGGGAGAATCCTAATGTTTTCCAACAGATGCTCCAAGAACAGCTTTCAGATTAAAGCAATTGCAAGAGCAAAGATTTTCCTTTTTCCCTTTTTTTTCCGGGGGGGTGGGGGGTGGGGTGGGGGGAGGGAGCGCCCCCAGAAATTCCTGGACATCACCCCCTGCCCCAAGCACGCAATAAACACTGACAAGAAAAAGTTTTTATTTCCTGGTTCAACTTTTTTTTTTTTTCCTGGAATATAAACTGAAGAATGGGAATAAACACGAATAAATAGCAGAGCGAGGCCGCGCGGCGGGACGCGCTGGGCTGCCGCCGCGAGGCCATTGTCTCAGCGCCCTGAAGCCGGCCTGGCGTTGTCCCGCGGCTCCTTCCCTCTCCCTGTCCTTTTTGATTTTCCTTTTTAAAAAAACGCCCCCTCCAGCCCCCTCGCCTGTGACCTTGGCCGCCTCGGATGCTCTGATTCCAGCAACTTGCCCCCGCTCCGGCCAGGCCCATGGCCGCGTCCGAGGACGGGAGCGGCTGCCTCGTGTCGCGGGGCCGCTCGCAGAGTGACCCCAGCGTTCTCACCGACTCCTCGGCCGCCTCCTCCGCCGACGCCGGCGAGAACCCAGGTAACGGGGCCGGGCGAGGGCGGCCGGGCAGGTGGGCAGGCCGGGGGCAGGTGGCGCTGGGCTCGTCCCCGGCGCTGCTCCGCGCCGCGCTCCGCAATCGGGGAGCCGCGCCAGGACCCGGGCGCCCGGCCTCCGCAGTTCGCGTCCCCAGGAACGCGGCCGGGGCGCCGCGGAGCCCTTTGTCCGGGAAAGAACCGAGTTCGCGGGCAGAGCGGGGCGCTCCGCATCGGCCCTCCTTGCGGGCTTGCGGGCTCCGCCGTTCCGCTCCGAGGGGCTGTCCTGCCTTGGGCGCTGACCAGCTGGGGGAAGAGAGTCAGACCTGTGGCCGCCTCCGCCAGGGCTGGCTCCGAGCTCTGCGTCCCTCCCCGGGGCCCCAGCCCCGGCGGCCCCGGCTTGGGCGTCCCCGCCCGGGCAGGGCAGCGCTCCAGCGGCCGCCGCGCACGGGGGCTCCGGCTGGACGCCCAACTCCGGCGGGGCCTGGCGCACCTGGGCGCGCCCGCCCGTCTCCCGGGACAGGTGTGCCAGGCGGAGCCGCCGGCAGGGAGATGCAGGGCGTGCGCCAGGGCCGAGCCCCGTTTCATTAAATTACACGGACTTTGTCCGCTCCCCCGCCCCCGCGGCAGCGTCGATTGTTTAGGTGATAAATCCGGTTACAAAGGCGTCTATAGGGCTTGATTGATTACTTTCCAGAGAGGAAGAAAGGCCTAATAAAGCAGGAGGGGGGTGGGCTGTGCGGGGCCTGTCACCATGGAGACGCAGGAAGCAAAGTGATCATTAAAACCTTTCTCCACCAGAAGGCAATTTTCACTTCACAGAGAGAAGTCTGAGCTTCTGAAATGTAGGGTTCAAAAAAAGAATCAAAGCTGGTGTTTTGGTATCAAGCCACTGGACTCGATTTCCTCTCTTTGAGAGGCACGATCTTCTCAGAGATGATGTTTTGACGATAAGTTGCCCCTACCTTCCTTAGAAGACTTATTCTCTCCAGATGCACCGGCCCCAGATGGGGACCTGCTCAGGGTAAATGGTGGGCAATGAAATCTAGAAACCCCCCCGGGGCTGGGGTGAACGCAGGCTTTCTGGGGAGGGAGTCCCTCACCTCACTGGAACCCACAGGAGCTTTACTCTCTAACTACAAAGAAGGACCTATTAAAGGCAGCTCTGCGGGCACCAGGGCCCAACTTGAAATTTTAAACAATAAACCCATGCAAGGCTTGTAAGATGTCTTTGTTAAGGACTAGTGACACTGTGTCATTTGGTCAAACTAAGGTACCAGCCGAGGAAATCCCTGGCTTTTCCACATCTGGGAGGGCAAGTTAATTTCCTGGGAGTTTCAAGGGAGCCTGCCATAAGCTGACCCTTAAGGGTTTAATTAATCCTTTTATTAGGAATCGGGGATTAAGCCTTCAACACTCCATGATGGGTTGGTTTTCTCTGTGCTGGAGATGCTCATCCATCATTGTTCCAATTATGGAAGTTGAGTGGTTCGTCACGAGAGAATCCTTCCCAGCTCCTTTTGTCTCCCTGGCAGTAAAAGGAAGCAAACTTGAAACGGAAATTATGGAGGATTTAGCTTTTTGGCTGTCTGTGAGTTGATGCCTCCGTGGGTGGGAACAGAGGGCTCGGCAGGTGGCTGGTGCCAGTCCACCAGGGAGGGGTGGAAGGGCTTGGGTGATAACGTGATGCCGTGGGAGGGCAAACGCCCGAGTTAGTCTCCGGCTCAGATGGTCAAAATGGGACCCTGGGAGCAGCTGTCTGAGGTGAAAAGTCTATAGCGTGTATAATTCTGCGCGTGGTAGAGCCTTGCTGAAGATATCAAACAATTTAGTATTTATGGATTGTGTTAAACAGAGGAGTTCTGGCAGAAAGAGGGTCAGAATCCTCAAGTTGGAAGCAGCCCGGGAGCTGGAAGCAGGAAGGGTGGACTAGGGGAGCATCTTCTATAACTGCCTTGCCTGGTTGGCTTGGCAGGCTTGCATACCTCTTTTGACGGGAGACTCACTTCTTTATGGGGCAGTGCATGTTTTTGGGGGTGGACCTATTTAAAAATTCTTCAGATGGTTCATTGGATGCCGCAGCCCATCAGTCCTGGTGGGATCGTCTCACGGTGCGTGTTACTGGGGGTTGCAGGAAGCCTGCTATTTCAGGGCAGTTATCATATGTATCTGCGTCTTTTTTTTCACTAGGGCTGAAAAGTCACAGCCCTCATCTTGCTCTCCCTTCCGGACCTCTTCGTTTGTCCTCCTGCTGCTCTAAAGCTCTACTCCTGGTTGTTGAAGCTGGTGTGCCAGCTGTGGAATAACCCCGTACAAAGTCAAGGAGAAGAGTTGCCTCCTTTCGTCTGAATTCTAGATTTTTATAAAACAGCCCAAGGTTGCATTTACCCTTGCCCCCCAAATGCATTTTTTTTTTTTAAGTAGGCTCCATGCCTAGCGTGGCGCTCAACGTGGGACTTGAACTCATGACCCTGAGATCAAGACATGAGCTGAGATCAAGAGTTAGACACCTAACCTCCTGAGCCACTCAGGTGCCCCCCTGCCCCAATACATTTTTCATGCATCAGGATTCTCTTAGTAAGGACTCAGAACATTCTCAGAAGGGTAGACTCTCCCTCTCTCACTCTTCAGAGGTTACCATTGTGATGAGTTTAGAGGAGATCCTCTGGAACTTTCCTATTCGTTTATAGCTACATGTTCTTAGAAGAACAGCTTTGAGAAAACACTGTGTGTAGGGTTCTTCAACTTGTTCCTACTCCATATTGGGTCTTGGAGGTCTTGTCACATGGTATATTTCCATCTCCTTCTCTTTAATACCTGCACAGCAGGCCAGAGAATATATTTTTCAGTTTATGTATTTGTGCTGTTTCCAGTTTTTACCCATCACAATCCCCCTGGCTGGGGCTCCCCGGGCAAAGCCTCCTTGGGCTCCTGTGTAAATTCCTGTAAGATGTGTCCCATCTTGTGGGATGTCTGGGTCGCAGGGGACCCACATTTTCTTTTTATGATAGTGCACCCTGGAAAATGTACCAACTGACATTCTTTCCAGGCTCTCTGAGAGTGCCCTTTCTCGGACGGCTTGCCAACAGCTGAGATCATCAATCTCCTTTTCCCCCTGCACAGAGAGTGACAACTCGTGGCTCATTGTGTTAATTTGTGGATCCTTGATTGCTGGTGAACTTGAGCAGCCTTATTAGTGCATTAAATCTCTCAGTGGCCACGTCTGTGGCCATGGACTGCGTGGTGGGCATGAACGGTGCTCCTTGAGGGCCTTTCCTTCCGCTCTCTCTGCATCTTTGCTGCGATAATGATTCTGTCTTCGTCTTTGCCAGGCTCCTTTCTGTAAGTCTCTGCTCTCTACCCACAGGCATGGGCAGGCCTTCTCCCCAAATTGAGCTTTAAACAAGGGAATGCAGCATGCCCATGACCTCTTCTGCCTCCCAGGAGTGCCTGCTCATGGGGACTTTGGCTCTGCCCTCAGAATTCCTTCTGCCCCTCGGTGCCAGGCGCCTGACCTGGCATGATCCCGCACAGAGAAGGTCATCTGTGACCTCTTTCTTATCCAACCCGTGCTGCCTCCTCAGCCTTCCCTGTCTTGTCCCGTTAGTGTCCTTGCCCCGTCCCTTGTCCCTCTTTCTGATGCTGTCTTCCCCCTGGACCCTGTTGCCTTTGCTTCTGGGCTCCCTGCTTACCCAGCTCTGCCCCTCTTCCCAGCATGACACGATGGAGTCCCTGCAGGTCCTTGGCCACCTTCTTTCTCTACGCCCTGCCCCCAAGGTGCCTCCCCGGTTCCCCAGTGCAGGACCAGAGACTGGGCTCAGAGTTAGCTGGGAATGCCTTTTAAAACACTTCTGTGGGGCCTGGTCATCTCCCTTTGTAAGGGCTCTGTTCTGGAGGGCCAACCAGGTGGGGACTTTGGGGGTGGGCTTCCGCAGGCTTGGCCCTGTGGACATCTGTGACTGGTCGCTCTCTGCAGTAGGGGCCGTCCTGCATGCTGTATGGAAATGGTTAGCGGCATTCCTGGCTTCTCTCCACTAGATGACGGCGGCTCCCCAGCCCCTCATTATGACAACCAAAAATGTCTACAGGCATCACTGGTGTCCCCTGGGGGTAAAGCGGCTCAGGTGAGCTTGCTTGGGGAACCCCTGAGTTTAGGGCTCAGCCATGGCCTCAGTCTCTCTGCTGACAGTTTCCGTGTGTGCGGGGGCCCTGCCCTGCCCTGCCTGAGTCCTGAGCTCCACACCTCTGCTGTCCCTTTCCCGTCCCTCAGATCTCGGGCTGATGTCACCTCCTCAGAATGCCCTCCTTGTCCGCCAGGTTAGATCAGCCACCCTGCCCCAACCAGCCCCGATCCGCCCTTGAGTTCCAAGTCACTCAGTGTGCTCATCTCTGCCGGGTATCTCGGGGTCTGTCGTCCGTGGGGTATGTTCCCCTCTCGGCCCGGAGCCCAGCACGGACCTCACATGCAGGAGGTGCCCGCGAGCATTTGCCGAATGAAAGGCAGGTCCCAGACACCAGGGCCTTCGCTGACGAGGCTTGTGGCTGGCCAGCTGCACCGGCCCCCGTGGAAAAGCAGCTCTGGCACAGCCAAAGGGTGGCTGGGGGGCCAGCAGCTGCACCCTTCTGCAGGGTCAGAGCCGCGTCTGGAGGGGGAGAAGACTCTGAGAGCATCCTGTGCCCTCCTGAGCTGCAGACTGATACCCAGACGCACCCACCTTCCTCTCGGGGGGAGTACTCCCACGGCTTTCCTTTTCCCTGCCCATGGCTGCTGGGATCCCCCACCACCCCTTCTGGCTGGACCCTCAGGACCGAGTTCCAGGTCTTCTCGTCCCCCGGCCTGGTCCCACAAGGCAGGGCAGGGAACGTTCCAAAATGTAAGCCCCCTCTGGTGTCTCCTTTGCCGCAGCCCCACGGCTCCTGGTGGTGAGGGAGATGCACCCTGTTTTCTTCTCTTGTGGTTCTTCCCGGCTCCTGGCTCCGATGCTCAAGTCCCGAGTCCGGGGGATG